TATTATATACTTTATTATTATACTTTTATATTCTTATATTCTTGCATTATTTTCATAATATATATATATGTGTGTGTGTGTGTGTGTGTGTTGTGTTTGTGTGTATGTATGAATGTGTTTTAATATGTATTTATGTATGTATAGTATATATATATATATATATATATATATATATAACGGACTTGAGATTGTATCAGTTTCATTCTATCTATTGTGTAGTATACTAAACCCAAAATGCTTTCTTTATACAGAAGAGCGAATACGCAGAACCAGATAGAACATACATATATGTGATACCAGGATCGGTATACACAAATCGCGAGAATATACAAGAGAAATATAGGGAATCCAGCTTCAAGGTAAGAAACCAATCGGTGATTTAGATTTAATTACTGTAGTATACTCGATTGTATCTTTTAATGCCTGGTTTGTTTGAGTCTAACCTCCACTAGTCTCTTCGTCCTTTCCCTCGTTCTAAATACACTACCGAATGCATACACACACGCTATCTATTCATTCTGTATACAATCGCATTGCAGCAAACACACGGCAAAAATGCCGTGGCCCCAACCGTCACGCACACGGCCAGGGGGAAGTTCGGAACCACTACGGTCGGTACAGCTGAAGACGAAGAGAACGAGCAGGTGTGGAAGTCGCTGGACCAGAGCTACGCAGAGAATGCGACCATCATCCAACGACAGCTACAGGCAGCCAAGAAGAACATGAAGCGGCCGGGTGATGAGGCGGAGGAGAAGCCACCCGAAGAACTGCCCAAGCGCGTCAAGCGCGGCACGTTGCTGACATAGGAGCGTGTTGTAGTAGTGAAGGTAGTAGTAGTAGTAGTAGCGTGTAGTGCAGGGGTACACAGGTATAGCGGCAGTTGCACCGGTGATCAACGGCGTCATAGCTATCCGGCGGGAAACCCGCGTTTAACGACTTGGGTGTGGGGTTTGAGCGAGAGCCCTAACGTCCACTAAATGGGTCGAGGGTACGCTTATCGTAAGATATAGTCTCTCATTCTAATTAAGACTTGTCCTGCGTTTGAATTTATACAACCACGCATTTGACAGAGCTGTCTATCAGAGCGGTCACATGTCGGTGGGGGAAAACAGCCATTGCAAATTCATTCAGCCAATCGAAATAGTCAAAGGCAATCAATAAACGGCACTAAGTTGTGTCAATAATCCTGATCCGCTCGGATGTAACTCATTTTAGCCAGGTTGTATGTTACACAACTAGCTCGTTATTCATACCCATAGATCAGTTTAACAAAGCCTCGGTGCTGTATATGTCGCATTCACTAACCGTAACTTCTGCGGGTCCACACTTCTTGCACTGACCAACCACGTCGCAGGGAATGGCAGACAGGAAACCCCACCTATGGCAAAATGTTCTAAAAATAGCTCAAGCTCAGCCAATCAGAATTCCGGTGTTATTTATGTCGCATCCACCAGCCGTAACCCTTGGCAGGTACATGCCTCTCGCATTGACCACATCGCTGGGAATGGCAGACGCACCCACTCACGTAAAGTATCCTTTATAATTAGCTAGTGGGTAAACACAGGGCTCCAGCCAATCAGAGCTACGGTACTGTATATATCGCATTTACCAGCCATAAACCTCGACAGGTCCACACCTCTCGTATTGACCATATAGCTGGAAAGGGCAGACGCACCCACCCACGTGGAGACTGTTCTATAAATAGCCAGTAGGTAAACACAGCGCTCAGCCAATCAGAGCTTCGGTACTGTATATATCACATTCCCCAGCCGTAAACCTCGACAGGTCCACACCTTTTGCGTTGACCACATCGCTGGGAATGGCAGACGCACCCACCCACGCAAAGCACAGCGGCACGGCGGGTGAAGCCCCAATAGACTGTCTTATTGCAATCTCCGATGGTTTTTTTGCGCCTCCGAAGCGCTCGGCAGCTGCTAAGCCTTCTTTCAGACTGGCTAGTAAACGCGCCCTGGTGTATGGACATAAACAATTTAGACTACAACATTCAGAGTATTTGGGCCGATAAATCTGGAAAATATATATGCATTCGTCTCCCGACTCACCAACGAATCTTTTTCTGCAGTGTACAATCAGGACGCGGAATACCTACCTGAATCCAGGGATCATACAAGTGCCGCCACTGACGACAATATTGGAGAGGACGAGTTCGCGGACATACAAGGGACAGCTGATGAGGATAAGATATAACAGAAGGAATGAGGATCAGTCGTACACATTGTCTTCTGTACAGTGCGGTATATCGATTTGTGGCCACCAACACGCACTCATTGCTAAGATCAAATACGGATACGATCGTGCAGAATGCGCCGTTCACCTATAGCACTCGTCTGCTAATTACTATGGTTTTCTCAAATAAGCTGGGCGCTATCACCAAAATCGCGAGCAATGCACAAGCTTCATACAACAGTAGGCGCGCTATATAAAAGTATAATCCCAATTTCTCCATTCAACCAATGACGTGGCGCAAACTCATTCGCATCGTATGCACACGCAGTCCGGGCCATAGCCACAGCCAACGAACTTACGCTTGGAGTGAATCTAGGATGGCCTCAGTCAACGTTCGCCCGTCCGCGTCTCCCCGGCCGAAGACTACGTCGCCTGCAATGGCTCGCAAATGCCCAGGAATAAGTACCTTTACAGGCTGCATACTTCCAGTGCTACTTAAATTGTGTTCAATTCCAGGTACATCGCTACTGTGTACATCGTATTCTCTGGGCATTACAACGGCTGTATGCTCCACTAGTTTCAACATCGCCATCTCGTCTGTCGCCAGTATATCAGCACTTTGAGCTAGAGATGGCAAATCCTCCTCCTTTGCACCTTCCAAGCTTGCGAGCATCTCTTTGGCTGCGTACATATGTAGGATATGTAGAGAAATACGTTTAATATACAACTAGAGAGATACGGTTTACATACAACAATCAGCAAACAAACGAATATGGCGAAGGGATGTTCTGTAGTTTCTCAACTTGACCGCAAACCTACATCGCAAACTCCCACGTGAGTGTGATAGCAATGCAATCGGTGTACATACACTAAACACGCCGTCAATTCAGCGAACGACTGTGCTATGCATATCCACTTTTAACCATCTACTCAAGCGCTACTACGCTTCTAATTAAAACGTTGCTGATAAACGAGTGTCATGGTCGTTATGGTGATGAGAACCGCTCGCTAAAGATGAGGCGAAACCAGTTTCATGTACTAGATCATACAAACATCACGATGGAATGGAATCTTCTACATATTTCTTATCAATGAACAGAGGAACGGTCATATAGAATAGACAATAGAATTCTTTATAAGTTTGAAAAGACATTGAAAAGGAAAAGTTTAAAAGTTGAACATTTTTATATAGCACGACATTTACAGCGAATCATACAGAGATCGTAAGTATAATACAGTCGATCAGTAAAAATAAATAAGAAGTATCGTACTACGTACAACTATATGTACATGTGTTTGCGTATATATACATATACATATATCATGCACGCACGCACACACACACAAACAAACATATATATATATATATATATATATATATATATATATATATATATATATATGTATGTATAATATATATATATATATATATATATATATATATATACATAAAGATATAAATACATTTATAAATGTACTTATACTTATTTACATATATATACATATACATACATATACATATATATATATATAGAGAGAAAGAGAGAATTATATATATATATATATATACATATTTATGTATGTATATATATATATATATATATTATATGTATGTATCTATATATACATATATATATATATATATATATATATATGTACGTATGCATATGTATATGTATATGTATATGTATATGTATATATTTAAGTATAAGTATAAATACATTTATCAAAGTATTTATATCTTTGTGTAAATATAGATATATATATATATACATATATATATATGTATGTATGTATACATATATATATATATATATATATATATATATATATATATATATATATATATATATATATATATATATATATATATATATATATATATATATA